TGGCATGGCATGAATTTTTTAAGGCGGGAGGGGACATGTGTTTTTAACAAGCGAATTTAAGTTTATATTTAAATTCCAGTTAACATACAATGTAGTATTTGTTGCAGGTGTACAATGTAGTAATTCAACACTTCCATACATCACCCGGTGCTCATCACAAGGGCCCTCCTTAATCCCTATCACCTGTTTAACCCATCTCCCCACCCACCTCCCTTCTGGTAACCAGCAGGTTGTTCTCCATAGTTAAGAGTCTGTTTCTTGGTTTTAAGAAGTGAATTTTTTTTTTTAAGATTTTATTTATTTATTTGAGAGAGGGAACACAAGCAGAGGGAGAGGGAGAAGCAGGCTTCCCGCAGAGAAGGGAACCCAACATGGGGCTGGATCTCAGGACCCTGGAATCATGACCTGAGCTGAAGGCAGACGCTTAATGACTGAGCCACCCAGGCACCCCAAGAAGTGAATTTTAAAATGAAGTTAAAACAGTATTTTAGAGTTCTAACAACGAGTAAGCCAGAAACTAGCTGGACCTACAGCCAAGGTGTGAGCCCCTGAGCTGCTTCCTTCTGAGGCACAAGACCCCTGCAGACCTCAAGAGAAAGCCAGGTATCGGTGAGATGGGGAGGGAGACAAAGGAGGACTGAGAAACAGATGGAAAGCATAGATACGTATTCTGGTGGTTGAAATAAATTCCAGAGATCACGGCAGGGTAATCGAGAAGGGACATGGCATGGAAGGGTGTAGGTCAGCAGGTGCAGGGCAGGGGACTGAACTGCAAGGGAGGGAATGCATGGGCCACTAGCTTCGGTGACCATGAAGATGGGCATGAGGTAGCAGAGGCGGCGCTGTGCGGGCATGAGGAGAGACTCGGGTTTGCGTCCTGCTTCCCCACTGCCTAGCTGTGCGGTGTGCGGCTAACACGTGGGCCACCAAGTCAGTGCAGCTCATATTAGAGAACTTAGGTGGCAAGTGACAGAACACGGACTTTAAATTGGCTTAAACAAAAATAAAGATTACCTCCTATACCTGGAAATTCCAGAGAAAGGTAGCATATTTTAGGGATTGTTTGACTCAGCAACCCAGTGATGTCATCAAGGGCCCAGTTTCTTTATATTTCTGTGCTGCCCCTTTTATGGTAGTGGTTTCATTCTAAGACTGGTTCCATCTCCCGGTCACTGTAAATATAAATTATATATAAATATAAACATTGGTATTTCCTTTTACACATCTAGAGAGAAAGACTCCCTTTTGTTAGCATTCTTGAAGGTGAGAACATGTCTTTGCCATAAGCCCAGCAAGTGTCTCCTGGAGTCTCATTTGGGTTGAATTTGGTTAACATGTCCAATCCTGAATCCATTCCTGCGGTCTGTAAAATGCCAAGTGCTGGACACTGGCTGTGCCAAAAATTACCCGGATCGGCATGCTCCCCCGCCGCCTTAAAACCAAAAACCAAACCAAATGAGCCCCACGCTGGGTATAGAGATTACTTGAATGAATTTAAAAATATATATCCCCAAAAAAGGGGGTTCGGCTTTTTATTGAACAGGTTACAGAAGAGGTTTAGTCAAAAAGATCAAAGCCCACGTCATCAGCAGACTCCTCGGATTCTTGCTTCCACTTTCTTCTCCTCAGCTGGGCAGCAGGGGTGGAGGGCGCGGGGCCTCCTGCTGGCGCAGCACCAGCTGCCGGGCGGGTCCCTCAGCCCCTGCACTGCAGCTGAGGCTCCCGATGTAGACTTTGGCCAGGACCTCTGCAAGCAAGCCGGGCCAGAAAGGTTTAGCGTCGACCCCCGCTGCTTTAATGAGGGCATCGATCTCGTCCTCGGACTGTCAGCTCATGGTTGCGCAGGATGAGGGCCCAGCAGACACAGGCGAGCGCCGAGACGGAGGCCGTGGTGCTGCCAGGCCCGGGCCCCGTGCTAGTCGCTGGATGAAGCGGCCTTAGCTTCTCTGGAAAGACGAGCATCTTGGCGCCTTTGGCCTCATTTCTGATTATCACAGTATACAAATGTATCCAAATCTATCCACACGAGTCCAGCCAAGTTGGACTTTTGGTGCTTCACGATGGCCCGTCTGCTCTGCCTTTGTGCAGGCTTTTCCTTTGCTTTCACTGTTGTCCTAGCTTTCCTGGCGGAGACCCTCTTCTCTCGGAAGCTGAGTTCAAATGCTTCTTCTTCTTCTTCTTTTTTAAATAAGGATCTGTTTAAGTAATCTGTACACCCAGTGTGGGGCTTGCCCTCATGACTCCGAGATGAAGATCCTACGCTCCACCGACTGAGCCAGCCAGGCGCCCCTCAGATGCTCATTCTGTTGTAGGCTTCACTGGTCTATCCAGGCCCATCCTCTCACTAATAAAGGGCAACCAGTGCTATCTACTAGTGGGCTTGTCTCACCCGCTCTAGATTCTCAGGTTGAGGACAATGAAGTTCTCCTCCTTCTCCTCCTCGTGCTGTATTTGCTCATTTTAAAACTGTTGTGTCCGCTGTGCATACAGAGGGGAAGGAGAACAGCATTCCGTAAGCGCCGCTGAGCTGGTGTTCCGCTGGGACTCGAGCCGGCTGGCGGGACACCCGCAGTGCAGTGGCGCCGCCCCAGGGACCTGACGCTCTCTAGGCTGATCTTCTGTTCTCGGTGTGACCGTATTTGCCAAAAGCCTTGCCGCAGTGGGCCTTCAGCTCATAGAAAGGCTGAGTTTCTACTGCCAAAGTGAAGGAAAGAACTGAGACAACTTAATGAGACATTTTACAGATTGCTCAGGGGAAACAGAATCTCTCTTTGAAATTACTGAGTCATTTCAGTTTTAATTTCAGAATCATACAAAGCACTGTCATCTGTATTATTATTATTTTATTTATATATATTTTTTTAGAGAGGGTGAGAGAGAATCTCAAGCAGATTCCATGCTGAGTACAGAGCCCGACACAGGGCTCGATCTCACAACCCTGAGAGCATGACCTGAGCTGAAACCAAGAGTTGGACGCTTAACCAACTGAGCCACCCAGGTGCCCCATCATCTCTATTATTGAGCAATGGCTTTCACAACTTTTTTTTTGCCATGACTCAGAGTAAAAAAAAATAACAAATACCCTTTCCATCATGACCCAGAGGTCACATATACTCATTCATTCATTCCTTCAATAAGCAGGTACTGGTCACCTTCTATATGCCAAATACTAGTCTAAGCAAAATACACTTATGAACAAAAAGGAAAGGAGGGAAGGAAACACAAACTATTGCCTCAAAGACCTTACATACTGGTACAACATACAACAAACAAAATAAGTAAAACACACAAACACACAGAAACGGAAGATTCATGAAACAAAACCTATTACAACATGCCATGCACTCTCATGTTTCCTATTTTTCAAAAAAAAAAAAAATGCTGGCCACACTCCATTAAACCATTAAGTTAGTTGGCTTCTCATTTCAGTAACAGGCTGAGCCTGCACTTCGAGAAATACTGGTCTAGACAATTTATAAAGTAGGCCGTGTGCTGTTCCTACTTTACAGGCGAGACAGTGACATGCCGAGAGAGGTGAAATGAGTTACCCCCATTTCCCCTCCTCCCAGCTTCACCTCAGGGCTTCTGACTAGTGTGCTGCTTTTCCCTTTGTCCTCTGCAGTCCTCCCATCGGCCTTAATCCCTCCTTCTCTTTGATTGTGAGACCTTGACCTTTGCCTGAAGCAGCTCTTCCTGCTTTTCCAGGTGAAATCCTACCAATCCTCCCAGGCCTATCTAGACTGCGATGTGCTCTTGGGGCCTCTTCTGTGGCGGGCTGCACTCTGCCTTCCTTTATCATTTCTGCTGTCCCACAACAGGCTCCTCTCCATGTGACCTCCTTCATAGCAGGTCTCATTTTTCTCACCTTCCCCCTCCCCCTCCATACTCCGGTGCTTTACAGAGTGCATATTCACAAACACATATGGAATTGACCTGAATTTGTAAGGGACTCACAGGAGAGGGGTGGGAGGAAGTGTTTCCTAGCCAGGACTGCAGGATTTAACAACATCTATTTAAAAGGAAAGATACCACTTTAGAAAAGATACCACTGAAAAAAGATCTCTTTACCTAGGTTATAAAAGTCACACATTAGGTAGAGGCTTCAATAGTATAAAAAGTATACAATCCAAATTGTTTATCTCCTTAGCATCAGTAGATAGATTTAGAACCATGCCAGTTGGTCATGTGTTGCACAGAACTGACACTGTCAAAAGAATTCAAGAAAATGAGGGCCACGGTAGAAGACCCAAGGAAGTGCTGGATGGACCTGGGGCAGGACAGGAGCCAGAGGCCCCTGGGGACCTCCTCAGCAGCAGGGAGTAAGGGCACCTTTATAACAGCTATAATAGCGACCGTTACGATGGGAATGGCTCTACCTCACCCAAATGCAGAAAATCAGTTCAAATTCTCAAGAGAAAGACTCTAAATGGCACAGCCAAGTCTAGAATTCTCCATTCCTGCTTTAATTAGTTTGGGTTAACCTAGGGCTGTGCAGTTGGTGCAAATATCTAGGGAAGGAAGGAAAGAAACTCTTTGAAAAAGGAGATGAACTTCAATTAAATATTGACCCAAACTGGAATTTTAAGTTTAAATTTCATCCTACCACCAGAGATGATGGGGACTCAAGGCTAATATGAGGTCAATTACAAGTAGTTATATAAAGTACTGTATCTGTGATATAGTATAAAATATAATTTCAATCCTATTAAAGGTTTAAAAAAAAACCCACATAGAATTTAGCTAATTTTAGCTAAGTTTCAGGGACAAAGAAATCTATGAGTTTATGTATCTATGATACAGATAGATATACAGATATAAAGAAAACTGAATTCCTTACCCAGGTTTTTCAGACTTTGTTTTGAATTAGAAATTCTAATTCTCTAGGACTGGGGTAAGGTAGGAGGGACTGCATGCTCAAATAAGCACCCCAAATTCTGTTCAAGATGTGTCATATTGAGAAACTTGCTTAACCTGACTCCTTAGAGTAATTAAAAAGGGGCTCAACTTGCATCTGTTTTTAATTAGATAAATAAAACGTGGGCACACCACATGTATAGTAACACTAAATAAGAGCATGTACAAATTTTAAAATCACATTTCTTATCATTGTTTTTAATTGCATTTAGTCACATAATTTATAGTAGCATAGGTTTATAAAAGATGTTTAAGACTGGTAACTTAGTCTTAGATTTTCTTTGAAAATGGATAATAATTATGGGAGTTGGTTATGAGTTAAAGAGTATTTCAGGATGACAAGCTGACTATAAACACAAAAGGTACACTGATAGCAATTCTACAAACAGCAAATATGAATGTAACTTATTTAAGCCTATTGGTTCACGTTTTTAAAAGCACCCTCATTTCTTTAAAGTTAAGTACTATAAATGGTTCATGAGAGTCTACTGTGGACAATGATATACTCAATCCACCTAGTTGGGGAGGTGGGGGTAGGGGTGAATTTATGTGACCATTCAATTCTGATTTGGGTTCAAAAAATCAAACTGTGTTCCAAAACAGTCACAAGTAGCATCATCAGTTCCTCAGATAATACAGCTCCCAAAACTCTCCTCCTCCCGGAGACCCCTCCTTTTCTGCTCTGATGTAGACATGCCTTTCTTTTAAAGAAGCAATGAAAGTATACAAGTTCACCAAAATTCTGAAAGTCACAGTTTGTAAAGCACTAAATGATAGTAGCTTTGGCATCTGATATTCCAGTCACTTTTGTTACAAATCTTTTCTTCATTCTGGGTCAAGGCGAGGTAAGACGGGAAGAATAAGATTCCCAAAAGCAGAGTCTTGAGTTATGAAGTATCCAGATGAGTGTGCATGTGCGTGCTAGAGAAGAGTTAAAAAAAGCAAAAGGCAATTAAGCTATTAGAAATCACAATTTTTCAACCAAGGCATTAAAATTACTTATCCTATCTGAGTGTTTAAGACCAAATTTATTTTAAAAATCAGTTCTGCTGCTAATTTTGTTTAAATACACAGGAGATGGACAGTAATAAAGAATTTATATTAACAAGCTGCACCAGGCACTCATTTGTCAGACCCACTCTGTCCTCTGTGATTCTCTAAAGTCAATAATGAGTCAAAGACATGAATTACTTTGTTCCCTGGAGTGGGGAAACTTGCAACAAAGACCCCCCAAATCTGCCTTTGATCAACAAAGCAGGAGCTTGAGAAAGAAGGCAGTAGTTGGGAAGGGAGTGGGGTGGGCAAAGGCGCTGATTACTGGTGATTAAGATCCCAACATTTTGTAGAGAATGTTGAAATGTAAGTAACAGAAAACCACCAGCGACCTCCCTCTGTCACTAGAGAAAGGAAGACTGTTTTTAGGTTGCCTTATGTGAGATGATCTTTCATGCCTCTTCCAATTCTGAGATTCAAAGTTTTAACAGCATAGATAATGATGGCTTATTCAAGGTCTCTGGGAATGTCAGTTAAACAATCCAAGATCACTGTGATACTAAAACTGTTTATTACTATGAAGAACAGTATTTTTTAAACTGATGGATTATCATTTCCTGTGCAACAGGTATGCTGACTATTAAAAAGAGAATCCAAACAACAGTAAACCAGTAAGATTATCAAGGAGTGTAACAGCATGACAAATTTGAAAAAATATATGTATGTACTATTAAACTAGCTGGTTCAGCTTTTAAGATCATTCTGTCCATCCAAATATCCTTGTACGCAACCAACCCCTTGCCAAGGACAGTCCCGACTCAATGATGACCGTGTCAAACCATAAAGGATACTTTCATTACTGCCGTATGGGTCCTTCAAATCCTCTGGGCATGATGACTGAACATCAGAAAACCACTGCAGTTATGTGTGGAACGTTTTTATTGATACTGCTCCACTGAAATACAAACTAGGAACTGTGCTGGCCTCCAAGACCCGGGAACGCTCCAGAGACCCGAGTGTCACTTCTACTTTGCTCACCTGCAAAGCCGCCTTTTGTTGGGCTGCAATATGCTGCTGCTCAGCATGATCCCGGAAGTCCTTATTAAGAGAGGGTCTCGAGAGTGCAATGCTAAAATGGGAATCTTAGTTATTTGGCTGTTTAAGGTAGAAGAAACTTCCTTACTTCTGAATCGCATTTTTCATTATATATTCTTTATAGGGATAAAAAAAAAAAAAAAGGCCTCCTAGAATGTCTTTTTTTCCTTCTCCCACGGTTTATATTAATTTATATGAAGAAAGCTTATGTTATTTTACTGGGGCTTCAAATTACCTCTATTTTTTATTATTTTTTGGATGATCTATGGTCCCCTACTTTCAAACTGATTTGAGGTACTCCAGTCTATCTTAAGGTTACATTTATGATGAAAACAGAAGCACTGAATGTTTCAAGCAGGAGGTACAGCAAGCAAAAAGCCCAGGGATAAAGAGCTTGGCGTGTCTGAAGAAATTAGGAGCGTGATAGGACTGGAGGTCAGGGTTGGAAAGAGGTGAAGTGGGTTGGCAGAAAATGACAGGGGGGGAGAGAAAGGCAGGTGCCCTGTGAAATAAATTAAGAAATGTAGATCTTATCCTCACAGTAAAGAGAAATTCCCAGAGAGTTTAATAAAGCAGAGGAGTGACATGATCACAAGTACCACATGAGGGCTCAGAAAGACCACGCTAGGCAGACTGTGCTGGTCACCTCGTCGACAACTGTTTATCTCCCTATTTCCTTGCTAATGGAATCCAAACTTCATTCAAGTATTGGTGGTACCATGCTTCAGGGCTGGCCAGGCTCATCCCTCAGGGGATGATCGATGTAAGACAATGCCATTCCCATTCCCTTTGTTGGTTTCTAGTTTAAGCAAGAGAAAGATACACAATTCTGGGCAGCTAGGCTTGACGGGCAGTCCGCTGGGAAGCTTCTGAGAACATTCTCCGCACTCTTACAAGAGAAATGTAGGACAGGAACCTTTCTGGCTTCGGCCTCTATAGCTGGCTCAGTGTGGGGTAAGGCTGAGACTATGGCAGTTCTATCTGGAACATTAGGGAGCTGCTGGCCCACAGAGAAAGGCAGAAAGGAAGGCTGGAGGGAGGCCGGAGCACGGCTCACCCCGCTGGCCACTACATGAAGCCACTCCGGAACCACCGGCTCTTCACACTCCTGGGAAACATCCATCCTAGCGTGTATGCCAATTTTCTTGGTTTTCTGTTACTTCCAGATTAAAACATCCTAACCGACACAACTGATAAATATATTCAGGAGGACTGAAGACTACAGGAAGTTCAGTGAGGAAGCAGCTATCGGAATGGAAGTGGCCAGGACGAGGGTGGCATCAGTAGCCATGAAGAAAAATAGGCAGATTGGAGGCATGTTTCAAAGCATACACATAAGAGGATGGCATCTGCTTGGAGACGGACATGAAAGGGAATAAAAGATGAAGTCCACACTTCTGACTGAGGACTAGTAGATCGGTGCCATTCACCAAGACAAGGAACCCAAGGATAGTTAAGTGGTGAGTGAGAGCACGGGAAGGGAAGAGGAGTTCAGCTTGGGACACACTAAGTTTGAAATGCCTAAGGGACATGAGGATGGAGCTACCCAAGAGGCAATTTGGGACGTGGGAGAAAAGACGAGATAAAACTTATCGGCACATAAATAACAGGTTGTGGAAGTGGAGGCAACTGGCCAGTGAAAAGCTGTGTGAGGACAGGAAATTGGCTGTAGGACCGGACTCTAAAGGGCACGGACATTCACGACACAGGCAGCGGAGACACGTCTGCAAAAGAAACCAAGACCGTGTGGCACAGAGCCGGTGGAAGCCGAGGAAAGAGAGTATTTCAAGAAGGACAGAGTGATCAGTGGTGTCAAACAACACTAAGACGTCTAATAAGAGAAGGCCCTCTGCCCACCCGATTTAGCTACCACCACGAGGCTGCAGGTGACCGAGGCAAGCACCTATTCTTAGGAAGGGGAGAGTGGATCTCGAGTGAGACTGGAGTGCGCTGAGGAGTCAGTGAGTGAGAAAGTAAAGGTGAGGACAGACAGCACTTTCAGGAGGTCTGGCTGAAAGAGGGGGCAAGGCCAGGGCAGTGGCTAAATGCGATGGAAGGAGGCAGAAACTGAACACAATAAAGATGAAGCCCCCTACATTTTACCTGCTTTGCAGAATGCTTAAAAAGGGGGACGCTGACAATAATTTCAGCAACAAACAAAAACCACACAAAACCCTTTTCTTTTTTTAAAAGTAGGCTCTGGGGACCATTAAATATTCTAATTAGAATTAGAATATTTAAGATCTAATCACTTCGTCTAATTTTTTTCAAATCTAACTTAAAGAAACAAAACATGTAAATTGCAACGTTACAGAGACAAACGTCTGCCAACCAACTTGAGGTATTTTGTCCAAGATCTTTTTTATATCACTGAATATGAAAACCACATTATTCTTCAATACCTTGCTCCAGGATGATTAGTTGAAGACTGGTTCTGCATTAGTAATTTTCTTTTCTCTTTGTCCAGTTCTGCCAAGATTGCAACCCTGTTTTTGTTTTGAAAACCTAAAAAAGGGGGTGGGGGGAGGAGAGACAGAGAGAGAGAAAGATAAAAACATTTTAGAGCTATTTTTATAGACCCAGGCCATCTAAAAACCCAGCAAGCAAATTCTATTCTCTAAGAAGATAATGAACCCACTAGCGAATAGTTCCCCTAGATGGTTAAACCGTTTTCCTACCGCTTCCCAGCGACTTTACCAGCATAGCCCATGATGGATGCAAAGCAGAATACTGACTGAGGATTTTGAAGACTTAGTTTTAAAGAACTATAATCACCAAGGTTTTCAGGAGGAAAACAGCAACAGACATGCTCACATCCAAACAATATTTCTTTTTCGTTGTCAACTGCTTTCATTCAGAAGTGACAGTCTTTTCAAGGAACAAGTCAAAGAACTGCAATGGACTACACAGCAATTCTGAGAAAGAAATGGAGCATAACAGATGGGGCACAAAAATGTGTGTCCTTCATCAACTACTTAATACTGGGCCTGATTTTGATCTTCAAATTTTATAAGATCTAGAGCAGAGGATGCAAAGTCCTGGCCCAGAAGCAGCAACCCAACTAGGTTTTATAATCTGAATTAGGGGCACCTGGATGGCTCAGTTGGTTAAGAATCCTTTTGATTTCGGCTCAGGTCATGATCTCAGGGTCATGAGATCGAGCCTCACATTTTCAACATCACACTCAGTGGGAAGTCTGCTTGAGATTCTCTCCCTCTGGCCCTCCCCTCCCCGTGCTCTCTATGAAATTAATTAATTAAAATCTGAGTTAAATGCCAACATGTAAACACTGAGAGAATGTAAACAAAATCCTCAGATTTCTTGCTTCTCTTGAAACATCTCAAGCACTGGCAACAAGGGATATGGATATCCCCATGGTAAAAATTAACTAGAATGAAGAAATAATCATCACTGTTTCATCACATTAAAAAGACACTGGGCACTCTCTAGCTTATTACAGCCCTTATCAGACTTGTTTATATGCCTGTGGGCATTTGAGTTTGATCCCTAATTTAGAAAAAAATAAATGGAAAGATAAAAGGCTAGAAAACAAAGCCCAAAGTGAGTTCTCTGTAAAGTGAAGAATGCTTTCCAAAGGAAAGTAGCACTCTCCCATTTGTATATATGAAGATGCATATATAAAAAGCAAGTTACACCATTAGGTGTATTTCTAACTATAGGACAAGACTTTTTTCCACTTCTCAGAAGAGGCGAATGCATCCTTAGAAGATAATTACGTAGTTCCATCTTTGTAGGAATTTAGAGATACTGTAGATATAAAATCTGATAGTGGTGGGACACCTGGGTGGCTCAGTCAGTTAAACATCTGCCTTCAGCTCAGGTCATGATCCCAGGGTCCTGGGATCGAGTCCCACATCGGGCTCCTTGCTCGCGGGGAGTCTGCTTCTCCCTTTGCCTGCCACTCCTCATGCTTGTGTGCTCTGTCTCTCTCTCTCTGACAAATAAATAAATAAAATCTTTAAAAAAAAATCAACAGTGTCTAAATTATGTGATGAGCAAAATAAATAACCACACTCAAAAGTACTGGTGTGCTGTTTATGGAAATACCCATTTCTCTCAAGATTAATTTGTTCACAAATAATATTTTAGGGTCACTATCAGTAAAGAAATTGTATATACATAGAAATTGTATGTACAAAGCATTAAAAAGACTATATGAAGATAATTTGATCAATAATGTTCAGATAAATACAAGCACAACTGAGCTTTCCAATGTTCTTCAATGTGTTTAAGCTTACCTATATTATTTTAAATGGCTGTCCTCTGTGAAAAGGAACCAGAGTTCTAGGAAGTGTACTAGTTGCATGTCTTAGGGCAAAAAAAAAAAAATCAAGATGTGCCTGGAACATCTTGTTGTCAGAAAGCAAGAAGTTTTTTTTCTTTTAAACATCCAGGGTAGTGGGGCGCCTGGGTGGCTCAGTTGGTTAAGCGACTGCCTTCGGCTCAGGTCATGATCCTGGAGTCCCAGGATCGAGTCCCGCATCAGGCTCCCTGCTCGACAGGGAGTCTGCTTCTCCCTCTGACCCTCCCCCCTCTCATGCTCTCTCTATCTCATTCTCTCTCAAATGAATAAATAAAATCTTAAAAAAAAAACATCCAGGGTAGTGCTGAAAGAACAAAGAAGCCAGGCGCCTGGGTGGCTCAGTCGGTTAAGCGTCTGCTTTTGGCTCAGGTCATGATCTCGGGGTCCTGGGATCAAGCCCCATATTGGGCTCCCTGCTTAGCGGGGAGTCTGCTTCTTCCTCTCCCTCTGCCCGTCCCCCTCATTTATGCTCTCTCTCTCTCACTCTCTATCAAATAAATAAAATACTTAAAAAAAAAAAGAATAAAGAAGCGCATTTGAGGTTAGCCAGGCTGTCACAATTGGAACATTAAAAAGAGAATAATAACTATAGCTAAATGGAACAAATTAAATCTATGATAAGCCATGACTCCATAATAAGATACAAAAGGGAAAGTTAAAATACATAAAAATATAGTTGTAAAGAAGGGTGAAAATAATTATTATAATTAATAATTAGGTCAGTTGTAATAATCTCAGTTAATAATTAGGTTAGTGTTAACATTTAGGGATTTGTTTCTCCTATTCAGTATATGTCTGTTTATAAAGTATAGCTGCATACTTTTTTGTTTAGGTACACCGAGGAAGGGGTAGATACAGGGAACTGGGGCTAAGCCAAACAGTTCCAGAAAAAGCATGTTTGGGACCAAGAACAAGAGAGGTGGATTCAGCACAGGTTCTCTCACTCTCTCTCTCTCTCACACACACACACACCATTTAACAGGAGCCCCAGTGGTGATGAGCACCCATGTCACACAAGGACCAAGCAGAAACTGTGAGTTCTAACTGGATGAGTTAGTGAAATTCCTAAAGAGAGCTAACTCTTAAGACCTAATGATCCCTGACCTCTTGGGAGATGAAATGCATTAAATCCTGGCAGTAAAGCTACCAGAAAAGGGCAATTCATAACGAAAACAGAACACGGAAGTATTTCATTTAGGGACTAACTCCAGGCTGCAAGAAATTAAAAATCTATGAGACAAGCGTGAGCTTAAAAAATCCCATTAACTCAGCAGGTAAAGTTTAATGATAGAAGGGACCCAGTGCACAACAACACAGCTTTTATATCATCTTTAAAGGCATAACCAAATCTTGCGTTTTAGCTGAGAATCAAACTTATCAAAAAACACTAAATCTTGACTTACCTGAAATTTTGTTTTGTTTTGGTAGTGGTAAGATTACTGTAACCCTAGGAAGGTATAGAAAGATTACTATAATCCTGGGAAAGTACAGAAATAAGAATCTGGGAAGATTATTATATCCCCAGGAAGAAATAAAAAAAAACAAGTACAGAAAGAGTAAGTTAATTAATTAAACCCATGGATTAATATTTTAAAATAGATTTAAGTGTACTAAGTTTTGCAATCATTACAAAGTGAAGTATTACAGTCATATTATTTATAATTCTAATTTAAACTACTATAGAGAACTTAACAAAATAAGTTTATAATCAATCCTAAATGTTTAAAATTTTTTATTTTAGAAGTTACTTTATTAGATGAGTGTAGGCTTAATACACCATTAATTAAATTATGAGCAGTGATGAGTATTTTTCTCCATGCAGAGATCCCCTTGGACTTTAAAGAACTCATTAAAGTATTTAAACAAGGGGGTCACCGGAGTGGGCTAGCCCATAGCCTTCCCTCCCTAGTAAAGATGGGATGATGCCTATCTCTGTATCTCATTTAGTGCCCCATACTCACACCCAGAACTCCGAGTTTTATCCTTATAACCCCTCCCTCTTACTCCCCACAGCTAACCAATCATCGAGTCCAGTGAATTTTATGTCCCAAATGTCTGCTAAAATAACCTCCCTTCTCAACTCCTTTTCCACAGTATAACCAAGCAAAATTATCTTTTGCATAATATTCTAGATATTAATGTGTATCTGCAGGCAGCTGAGAGCCACAAAAGCTACTTTCCAAAGAAAGCGTATGGTCAGATCTTTTAGGCTTTTATTTTCTGATCTTGTCTAATGTTCCTGAAACCTAAGCTTCCTTCTTGATTTTTTAAAAAATAATACAGTATTATTTTACATGTCTATTTTGCACAAAACATTTACATTATAAAAGTATATAAAAGTCAACAGATAGCACTTAGGAGATAATAATAGCTTATTTCAAATTTGAAACTTAAGGCACAAACTAGGTAATCTATCTGGTTATACGAAGTATAATGTTCTATAGTAAGATTCTCCACCTTCAGGGTTTATACAAACGAACTCTAACTAGGACATCAATATATAACATTTAACTGTTTTATTACACTCACTACGCGAGTTTTTTTTTTAAACATTCACCTATCTCTTGCCATAATTTAACATTTGATTTTTACATTCTTTTACACATATCATAGTTACATGTAACTTTTACATTCTCAGAAGCATGAGAGTGTTAAAGATATATCTCATGTATAGTACTTAATATTCCTTTATAATTAACCTTTTTCCTAATAAAATTATCTTAGAATAAGGCAGCACATTCTAAACTACTTCTACTTTTAGAACTATAACCCTATCTCCATTCACAATCATATATATTTTCATTTCTACATCCATTCATAGAAACATATAACTCCCACACATTTTTTTTGTCACTAAAAACATTCCCAAGGAACTGGCATCACATCAAATTGCATTTAAAACCTAACAGCTGATAATCACTTTACATGAATAGCTCTATCACACTTAAATAAGCACTAACTGGAATTCTTTTTATTGGAAAAAAAATCTAAAGCTAAAGAATGAAAATTACTCTAAAATATTACTCAAATCCTTTCAAGTGGTTATCCTACAGGCTATATATTCTTTACAACTATACATTAAATCAACATATCATACTTAAGGTACCTATTCAGTATTAAAGGAAAGTCACTGTGGCACCATTAGTTTAACATGTTTTAAGTTATTTACTGAATCAACATATATTTATTGTGTATTCATCATATACAGGCACTAGAGAGGTTCTAAGGATACAATGATGAGCCAAAGCTGGACATGATTCTAGCTCTCATGGTTCTCAAACAGTCCAGTGAGGATAGAGATGATCAAATAATTACAGCAATGAATGTATACTTAGAATCTAAGATGAGTAGTCTGAAATAAAGAAAGAAAATTCTATAAGCATTTATAATAATCCATTACTGTGGGAATCAATGTTGAATAAACTTGACCTAGGCTGGGAGTAGGGGGAGCAGTGAAGGCTTCCAGAGAAAGTAATGCCTGAACTGAAACCTAAAGGACAAATAAGTTCATTAGGGGTCGGCGGAAAATAACACTTTCCCCTGTAACAAGAGCACTGTAGCTGCAGTGTTGAGAATAGACTAGACAAGAAGAAACAGGAGACTATGACAGTAGAACAAGCTAGAGATGGCAAAAGTTGTTATGGGCCAGGGAATGGAAAGATAGGAACATATCCAAGAGCTATTTAGGAAGTTAAATCAACAGGACACTGACAGAGTAAAGATTAAGTAAGGAATGACAAAGAAGGTGTCATGGATGGCTCCTAGATTTTTGGCTCATATAATTAAATGGTGAATTATTTCTATTGTTCTATTGCTGCTGTAACAAATTACTACAAACTTAGTCTCTTAAAACAACACAAATCTATCATCTTACAGTTCTGTAGTTCAGTGGTCTTACTGGGCTAAAATCAAGGGCTGCATTTCTTTCTGGAGCCTCTGGTGAACAATCTGTTTCCTTGCCTTTTCTAGTTTCTAGAAGCTGCCTGAGTTCCTTGGATCATGGTACCCTTTCTCTGCCTTCAAAACCAGCAACACTGTATCTCTCTGACCCTTCTTCTATCATCATTTCTCTGACCATAGCTAGGGAAAAAATGTGCTACTTTTCAGGACTCACTAGATTAAAATGGGCCCACCTGGATAATCCAGGATAATCTTCCCATCTCAAGGCCCTTAACCTTAATCACATGTGCAAAGTTCTTCCTGCCAGAGAAGGTAACATAGTCACAGGTTCTGGGGATTATGAGGTGGGCATCTTTGGTGGTGGGTGTGGGGAGGGGATCATTTTGCCTACCACATTCCCCAATAATATATGTATTCAGTGGTTAAAGCTTAAACCTCATCCAGAGGAGACTGCTTGATGTCTAAGTCTTAGCAGAATAAAAGCATATAACATTATTAAGTTAACGTGAGTTGATCAGTACCAATTAGTTTTTTCGGTATCTAGTTAATGGCAAACACTTCTTGTATCTGGAGAGATTGAAAAATTATTCAACTCAGGGCACCTAGGTGGCTTAGTCGGTTAAGCATCTGCCTTCGGCTCAGGTCATGATCCCAGGGTCCTGGGATCGAGTCCCACATCTGGCTCCCTGCTCAGCGACGAGTCTGCTTCTCCCTTTCGCTCTGCCTCCTCGTGCTCTCTCTCAAATAAATAAATAAATAAATAAAATCTTAGAAATTATTCAACTCTTAGCTACTTTTTGGACTTTACTGAAAATACATATCAAAGGAAAGGAATGAACCCTAATATCTGCTCAGGTGACCTCCCTGTTTTCAAGTTCTCGCTCCGTCAAGGACTTACTCCTTGTAATCTACTGCCACTTTCTCTACCCATCTGAGGTTTCCCTTCTTCAGGACTGGCTAACTAAGAACATGAGTTATCTTCTGCTTGAACCGACCTTTCCTCATCATTCATTTTTCCTCTTACAGATAAACTCCCAGGCCCATTTCATTGCAAGGATTTTCTGCTTAATAACAGGTGCAGAAGAGATACAAAGATTAAGAATAAGAAGTCTTTTGCCCCTATTCTAGAGCTCCCAATTTTTTTCTTAGAATTAGAATTTTCTTAATTAGAATGTTCTAATCCCTCGGCTAAAGTGCAGTATGGAAAAACAATGAACAGGGTACTGGGGTAGAGAAGCAATCTGACTTCTTATATCACTACTACCAGTTACTATTTAATACTGGGAAATTATCTCACTAGACAGGACCAGAAGAGACAACAGTAACAGCTTCGAAGGGTGGTTATAGGAGGTACAGAAAGTAGAAGACACCCAGCATGCAGCACGCCACATGGTAGTTGCTTAATACTCTTATTGTCATTCTCTAGCATTCTGCATTAGTTAGTTCACATCACTAGATTCTTCTCAGCCCCATTCTGCCAATTCACTTTCAGTGAACAGTGTTTCATTACAAAGAATACAACTGATCAGCATGCAGCTTTCTAGGTTGCACTCGCATGACAGGCCTCCCAGGCCAGTCTCAATGGGCCTGGGAATCTCAAGCTCTCTCCTAACTATACACAAGATCTGAAGCTCCTTTACGACATATTCTGCCTCAACTCAGTTTAATTCCTATTTCAACCTGGGGCCTACAGATCATTCCTAGCACATCAGAAAAATACTGTATTCTGCCTTTGTAGCTAAAAATGAGACAAAAAGAAATCTAGCTTTAAAAACCTACCGCAAATTGCATCCACACTCTCCTCTTTAAAAAAGTACAAACACAAGAATTTTAAATTATTTTTACACAGGGGCACCTGGGTGGCTCAGTCGTTAAGCGTCTGCCTTCGGCTCAGGTCATGATCCCAGGGTCCTGGGATCGAGCCCCGCATCGGGCTCCCTGCTCCACGGGAGGCCTGCTTCTCCCTCTCCCACTCCCCCTGCTTGTGTTCCCTCTCTCGCTGTGTCTCT